CTGTGCACTTATGCAATCTTTTTTTGCTACCCACTGAATAGCAGTAAGAGTGACGCAAGTTGAAGATACAATTAATATCAGAATGCTTTCTAAAATAGATAAGTTAGGAATTATTCTTAGTACAGTATTACAAAATCAGATTCTAAAGTAAATTCTGAAAACGGAAAATGGGACAAGCTAACCTTTCATGATCTAAAGTAAATAATGTTACTATGTATATAAAACGTTTAAAAAAAATCTTTTAGCAATGGTTTTGTGTGGTACAAACTTTATTGATGTATAGGGCCATTACAGTGCTGCTGTGACTTGAAGGGTGCCCTCTCTTTAGAAGTGGAAGAGTAATATAGTCGTGTAGCTTAAATTAGTTTGTTTATTTTATAATGAGAACAAAAACACCCGGTTGAAAGTGCCTGGTGCACTTCTGGTACTACTACAGTATGAAAAATAAATCTAACTCCCTTGCTCTGTCTGTGTGTACCCCTATAAATACTGAGTCTTATTTGAGAACTGAGGTGTGCTGGAATGGGGCCATATAATATATACTTTGGTGAGACTTTTTATATATCACTTTAAAAATAAAAAAATTACAGTAGAACCGGGGAATTACGAACCGACCAGTCAACCACCCACCTCATTTGGAACCAGAAATATTCAATCAGGCAGCAGCAGAGACCAAAAAAAAAAGGGGGGGGCAGTAAATACAGTACTGTATTAAATGTAATTAAAAAAAAAGGGGGGGGGCAGCATTTTTCTTCTACATAGTACAGTTTCAAAGCTGTATTAAGTCCATGTTCAGTTGTAAACTTTTGAAAGAACAACCATGATGTTTTGTTCAGAGTTATGAACAACCTCCACTCCCAAGGTGTTCGTAACTTTTGAGGTTCTACTTAAATCTACTATACTAGATTTAATACTTGTGCTCCATTGGTTATGGCTACATAATCTAATTTCTTAACAAAGAAAGAGTGGTAATACTCCTACTTACTGTTCCTAATTCCATGTTCCTTTGAAGTCCCGATAGCTCGCATCCATGTGTTTTCTTTTCTAAATTATTTTTTCTATTGTAATAAGATACTGCAGAAAAAAGAAACCTCGAACAATCTGGAAATAATATAGTCAATGAGGTTTTTCTCCGAAAGAAGTAAGAAGACTACTTGAAAATTTAAATACTGATTTTTCTCTTCTATAAATACATAACTACTTGTTTAAACTTTGGTCTGCTGCCTAACAGTACAGTAGATTATTAATTTGTTTTCTTACATTGGAGTTGTCGTTAAGAAATTGAAAGATAATTCAGTGAAAGCAGCTTGTTTTTGTATAGATATGGGATGTTTCTACAATGAAGACTCATTGCAGAGGAGATTGGATTGAAGGCACAAACATTGTATCTGCACATGCTAAATAGAGGGAAAATAGATTTTGTGCATAGTTTACCAGAGAAGTGGAGAGCCATTTTGGAGTTGCATTTTTGAAGTTTTATATCACAAAGGAGTTTATTCCTAATTACTGACTTCTTTGAAGTGTAGTTCATGGTTTAGTAGCTATCACAGTAAAATAGTTTAGTTTTTTACTACTTTGTGTGAAACATATGCTAACTTTAAATATTTGAACTGTTCATTATGGTTTTGGAAAAACTATTATTGAAAAATCCCAATGGGTATAACTTTCCTGAAGGAGTACTTACAAATGAAATTGCACTTTGGATTTTTGTCTGATTTAGTGGCAAAACAGGCTTGCAGTAAAATAAAAATAACATTCAGCTTCCAAGTAGCCCAGAAAAAATAGACCCTAGAATTAATCATTAGTTAAATATTCTTGTCTAGGCCTATTAATGTGTGTGTAAAGGCTTCTTGTTAGCTTAAGCAAATGTTTTTTATTAACAAAGTAGGTCACATCTTTGCTCTGCTGTGTAACAGAGTTCATGGTTCTGGCAAGAGTATTGGTTTTTATATAGAGCTGTGCTAGCAAGGCACTAGTTATGGCTGATAAAGCACTTTCATTGTAAGCAACAGTTTTTTTTTTTTTTCTATCCTCCCTCCTCCTCCCCCACCTTCTCCTTCAAACACTTAAAACTTCCTGAAAAATACATGATCCTATGAGCTAGTTCTCACATGACGTGTCTTGGCACATGAGTAAAAAGCTTTAAGAAGTTTGATAAGATTCTGTTTGGTTGTTTTTTGAGATATTGGATCACAAAATACAGTGTGCCAGGTTCACCCCCGTTGTTACAGATGCGTCCAATTTGCGTTCCCCTCCCCCTTGCAGACCAGCTATGCTGAAGGGTGTATTGACCTTGGTATAGAGCAGAGATCGGCACCTTTGGCACACGGCCCACCAAGGTTAAGCCCCCTGGCGGGCCGGGCCAGTTTGTTTACCTGCCGCGTCCACAGGTTCGGCCGATCGCGGCTCCTGCTGGCTGCGGTTCGCCGCTCCAGGCCAATGGGGGCTGTGGGAAGCGGCGGCAGCCCGCGCAGCTTCCCACAGCCCCCATTGACCTGGAGCGCCACTTCCCGCAGCCCCCATTGGCCTGGAGCGGCGAACCGCGGTCAGCGGGAGCCGCGATTGGCTGAACCGGCGGATGCGGCAGGTAAACAAACTGGCCCGGCCTGCCAAGGGGCTTTCCCTGGTGGGCTGCGTGCCAAAGGTTGCTATCCCTGGTATAGAGGAACTTTTATTTCTCAAGGGGTGGGCAGGAGCTTCTCATGCAGACCTTGCTTGGTATTCAGCCCCTTTCCTACCGTGTCTAGCTCTGGCCTCTTCTGGGCTGATCCTACATTCACTTAGGGCAGTGCCAGCCAGCTCTAGACCACATGGCAGACCAAGAGTCACATATGGCTTGTTCCAATGCACTCAATCCTGGTGAGCTGCCTTCTGCTGGGGGCCATGGTGTCTATCAGTTTGACCTGTTATCTGGTATGTGGATAATTAAAAAACAGTTGCTGCTGTCATTTGTTTTATTTATATAAAAAAAAATCTTCAAACTGAAACTGAACTTAGTCCTCAGTCAGCACGCAGTCTCTGACGTGATGGAAGAAACTTGGTTTAAAAACTGTGTGTGTGTGTAAGTAAAATAAGTACATATTCTCTACATAATTGGTGGTTGAATTTTTAGATAAAAAAGTGTACCAGCTGTGACAGAGGTGAGGAGCATGCCTCTAAGGCAGGGTGGATAAACTTTTTGGCCTGAGGGCCACATCGGGTTTCTGAAATTGTATGGAGAGCCGGTTAAGGGAGACTGTGCCTCCCCAAACAGCCAGACGTGGCCTGGCCCCTGCCCCCTATCTGACCCCCCCCCCCGCTTCTCGCCCCGATGCCCCCCCCCGGGACTCCTGCCCCATCCAATCCCCCATGTTCCCTGATGGCCCCCTGGGATCCCTGCCCTATCCACCCTCCCTGTTCCCTGACTGCCCCCTGCCGTCCAATCCAACCCCTCCTCTCATTCCTGACCGCCCCCCCAGGACCCCTGCCCCCATTCAACCCCCCTGTTCCTTGTCCTCTGACCGCCCTGCCCCCATCCACACTCCTGCCCCCTGACTATCACCCCGAACTTCCCTGCCCTCTATCCAACTCCCCCTGCTCCCTGCCACCTTACTGTGCTGCCTGGAGCACCAGGACAGGCAGCCGTGCCGCCCGGCTGGAGTCAGCCATGCCACCGTGCAGCACAGAGCACTGGGTCAGGCCGCAGCTCTGCAAGAGCCCCACCGCCGAGAGCATTGGGCCAGCTTCCTGGGCCAGGAGCTCAGGGGCCGAGCAGGAGGGGCCCACAGGCTGGATGTGGCCTGCAGACCGTAGTTTGTCCACCTCTGATCTAAGGTATTTGCACTATTACTAAGGGCTGCTATAATCACCATTATTAAAACATAAACATGTCACTAGTTTAACTAAATTGGTGCAACATAACATCTTTAATTATACTGTAGCAGCGCAACTTCATGTGTAGACCAGCCCCAAGTTTATTTGTGAAAAGTACTGTATGAATGTGAGACTATGGAAGGCTCTCGTATGGGTTAACTGGCTTTTTTGGATTAAACTTCTTGTTTTGGGCGAGTTGTGGGGGCAAATAACTCTTGGAAAAATGTCTTCCTTGCTCCCAGTTTCAATTCACAGTCATCTTGAGTGGCCACATATTCCATTTGTTTCTGTTTTAAACTCCATCACTCTTTGCTGTCTATTTAAAAGATGCATTGCAGCACATATCCTGGAAATGGGAAAGATATCTGCTTTCAAGATGGTAGTCTTGTTATGTATTCAGATACAATAGTCTTTCTTTCTTACTTGAACCTGGCAACATCACCTCTGTTGCTAGTGCTTAATTTGTGCCAGGGCTGAACCCCGGCACCTCTAGGCTTGGCAGTTCATAGCCCCAGCACTCTGAGCTTGCTGCATCAGTTATGAAAGTAAAAAAAAATTGCTTGAGCCATGGCACCTCTCTCTTTATAAATTAAGCGATCTGTAGCATGCTTAATTCAAGGCTCCCATGTGAGTGTAGGTAGGAGGTACTTCTGAGTCACTGAGATGGCTGGGATGTCAAAACTTTCATATTTTGGCACCGTAGTAGAAGTGGGCTGTCTTTTATGGGTGCTGAGCAGGTTCTACTGGAGGAAATGTGATGACACCTCCAAATCCCAACTTCAGTAAAATTGGGTGAATTATGAATTTATGAGCACGCCTTCAGGTACTTACAATTCAAAATTTGGCCATAATTTGTAATTCAAGTGTGTGTGTGTGTCGGGGGGGGGAAATCTTATGAGGTGAAAATGCAGGAAATATACACTCCTAGATATTGTGCCATTCAACTCTACACTTGATTTTCTGAGTATTTTGGCTCTTACTGTTGAGTATGTTGCATTCTTCAGTGCTAGTACGCCCTGCCTCTGACCACAACTCAGATTTATATGTGCTATGCATATACCTCTCTGTATGGAAAGTATTCAAACATACTTGTCTAACGTGTTTCAAGCTGAGTGCATAAACTGTGTGTAATCATATATTGTGTTTAGGTAATGCGTCTGGGGGCTGCACCTGCTAGCCTGAGCTTGCTGTCCATCCAAGTATATGCTTCATCCTCGGAGAAGGAAACTCCAAAAAAAGAGTTGCTAAAAATTGATGAGGTAAGACCCTACCGTTCTGGTTGCATTCATAGCGTTTTGGTGACGATGGAGTAATGTTAGCAAATTAAGAAGCACGTGTCTAACAGAGTAAGATCATTTACTTTGGGAGGGGAAAAATGTTTGCATGTCTGTCTTCATATTACAAGGACAAAAGAATAATTAATTTAAACTTGCAATGGAAAAGTCCATAAGCTCTGCTTTTACTTTTCCTAACTATATGTTTTGAGGCCTGTTTGACGTTTTGAGACTTGCTCATGTACAAAATACTGTAGTATTTTTCCATATCTGAAAACCTCTAATAAAATATTTTTCGTTGAGTAGCTTTCTGTCCTAAGACAGCTGCCCATACTAGTATATCTAATCCACAGGAATGTCTTTATCTCCTGCTTTTTCTCCAGCAGACACTATGTGCTGTTTACATGATGTGTTCTGTTGGCTTTCATTTGCAGGCTTACGTAAAGCAACAAAGCCAAGAGCTTGTCTATCTTAAAATACAACTGTATTTATCATTCACTGTAGAGATGAAACATGCTCCCTGCCCTCTCTGGTTTACAATCCTGCAATGCAACCTACTAGCTTGTAATTCTACATGTGTACAGGGATCCCCAGACTTTGCACTGAAGGATCAGGGCTTAAATATGGACAAAACACAATGAACAACAACAAAAATCAGGGTGAAAAGCAGGGTTACAGAAATAACAGCCCATGGGCACTTTAGTTATGCATTCATCTGGATAACTGTTACTAAAAACATGTTTGTTTATACACTGAAGCTGCGTATGGATTGGCCGTTACCTCTTTTTTTTTTTTAATCTGAATAGCTAGTCAAAATTTGAGGCCTTGTAAGTTGCAGGGCTGCGGGGGGGGGGGGGGGGCAAGTGGGGCAATTTGCTCCAGGCCCCGGGCCCCGCAGTGGCCCCCATGAGAGTTTTTCGGGGCTCCTGGAATGGGGTTCTTCACTCACTCCAGGGGCCCCAGAAAACTCTTGCAGGGCCCGGGCACCCGGAGCTTCTTCCACTCCGGGTCTTCGGGGGCAATTCGGCGGTGGGGGGTCCTTCCGCCCCGGGACCCGCCGCCGAAGTGCCCTGAAGACCCGTGGCGGGGGGTCCTTCCGCCCTGGGACCCACCGCCGAAGACCCCAGGCCCCCTGAATCCTATGGGTGGCCCTGGTAAGTTGTTCCAGTTGGGAATAGAAACTGATCATGGAATCTGATATATTCTTTGATGCCATCTTGTTCATTCACAAGGAATGTACAAAAGTGCTGCTTCTCCAAATGCAGGGGGAACACAACAAACCAGGGGGTAGCTTCTTTGCTTACAGCCCCAGGTCTGTTTAGACAGCACCAGACCCAAAAGATCTCTTCAGGCTTCTCCAGGAGTCACTCTGTGCTTAAACTGGTGCTTGGCTTTCTTGCCCTCTTGGGAATCTTTTTGTTTCTTGTCTCCCCTTCTACCTCCAGTCATCCAGCTTGCACTGTTTTCCACGGACACTTGTAACTGGTCAGAACAATACCCCGTGGAACCGTCCATGCACATGGTGCTAGTTTCTGGGCAGACTTCATTATGCCTTATTTCAAAGTGACGCCTTGTCTCTAACATCTATCTTAATTGAAGGGTGCATTCACACATCAATTGCAACAAGGTTTAACCCAGTTCATAACACTATACAGCAGTGGTTCTCAAACTTTTGTACTGGTGACCCCTTTCACATAGCAAGCCTGTGTGTGTGACCCCCTCCCCGCCCCCTTAGAAATTAAAAACACTTTTTTACATATTTAACACCATTATAAATGCTTGAGGCAAAGCGGGGTTTGGGGTGGAGGCTGACAGCTCGCGACCCCCCATGTAATAGCCTCGTGACCCCCTGAGGGGTCGCAACCCCCAGTTTGAGAACCCCTGTTATACAGCAAACCTCAGTGTTCCTGAGAAACCATCAGTAGCTCTAATACTTTAAGATGTAACCAAAAGACACATTGGAGAGTGTTTATTTTAATAATTAGTTGCACACGCTGTCCTGCTCCAGCTTGGAGTGTGGATCTTTCAAGTAAAGATTTGGCTACTGTTGCATGTTGCATTCACTTAAAAAAAAATAAAAAAAAAATTAAGAACATTTTGCACTCTAATAATTCTTTAATGTCAAAAGTATTTTTCTTTCCTACAACTAAAAACGGCTTTTGGTTTGTTGAAATTTAAAGGGCTTAATTAAAAGTAGTTTTGGGGTAACACTAGGTATGAGAAATGTCAACCTAAAAAGGAACTTATTGGAGAGTATTATGAGGAACTGAACTTAAGATTTAGAATGAAATGACTGTCAAGCTGCTTGTGTATTATGTCAGCAAATCTGCAGTTCATGTTTCTTATTGCTTTAGAAAAATAAGTTGTCATACTTTGTTTAAAAGAGTACTAATTATATATGCATTTTCTTGCATGCATTCCAATTAACTGGTTGTAAATATCTGCCAAAACTTCTGCAGCTCATATTTAAGAAAATAAACAAAACTCGACAATAGCATATAAAATAGAATGAGTATTAAGATATCAGTCTTCAGGTAGTGTGACAAGTTGACATTTTTTTTAAAAGGCTAATATCCAATGACTATAGCTGTGAGTCTTTCACGGAGGTCAGGGAAGTTCTGGATTCTGTGACTTCCGCAGGGGTTGGTGCCATGGCCTGAGCGGCTGGTGCAGCCCTGGGGCCAGCCACACCAGCCACTGCTCCAGCGGCCCCAGGCAAGTGGTCCCGGGCGCTGCCCCAGAGCAGTGGTCCAGGAGCAGCAGCTGCGCCCCGGGCCGCTGCCCGCCCGGAGGAGGAGCTGTGGCGGTGCCCTGGGCCACCCCCCGCCCGGAGGAGAAGCAGCATCCACTGGAGCACCTCTTCCTCCCCAGCACCTAAGATTTAGTTGGGGTATTTTTAGTAAAAGTCATGGACAGGTCACTGGCTGAGACTTTTTGGTTATTGCCGTGACCTGTCTGTGACTTTTACTAAAAATACCTGTGACTAAATCGTAGTCTTACTAATGACATTAGGTGTGTCTTCATTATGTAAATACTACTTCTTTAGATGTCCCACCTATGTCATTCACAACAGTGTTGCTACTGCTGTCCATTACTACTGAAGGTAACAATTGCAACATCCAAGACAGTACAATTTTCTGTAAATCTCAAATTCTCTGCTGAATAAAAAGCCCACCAGACTGTTAATTTAAAAACTACTTAAAGTCTTTAATAATGGCTTGGGTAAATATAGAAAATGACTGCTCTAAGATCTAGTACACTTAATACAAACGCTGAGAACCAATATTGCTGATTAAGTATAGAAAACACTTCTCACAATTATGTATGTGATTTTTGGGACCAAATGAGTCTGATGTTCTATTTCTAAACCTGTAGTTGGATTAGCCATCAATTTGTTTGGCTGAACAGAGGAGCAATTAGTAATGCTCTCCTCATGATGTGTAATTATTCTTTAATTCACATAGAGTTCTCACAGCTTGACTGTATTTTTATTATGTCTTGTAGTATCATTTACTTTGCGCTAGGCATGGTTGAATTATACAGCTCCTGCCCTGAGGACCTTCTTGTACAAGTCTACCTTTTTAACCTCTTGTTTGCAAATATTCACAGCTTTCACTCTACTCCTGTCCAACTCATGAGTCTAAATATGTGGAGGAACCACAAACCCAGTTGGAAAAGGGGATCTCATATCTGCGGCATTCTGTGGAGCCATATACATCTTGGTGTCAGGTATAGCAGTTTTATCTTACGGAAGTACTGATATGTTTCCATAGTTAAGGACGATTGAGGATTTTGCTTATGACAGGATATTAAAACCTGCCTTGATCTGAATTAGTGAATTGCTTTTTTTTTTTTTTTTTTTTTTTAGTAGAAAGATATCTCTGAGGGCTCTGAATATTTAAAGATATTTTAGCCATTAGGAAGTGTTTCTGTAAAAAGAAATGGTTCTTTTTGTCTGCAATTGTGCATGGTGTATTTCACCAAATCTTGTACCCCTTTTTGGCCAAAAAAAAAAAAAGCTTTAGAATCCTTCCCCCCCAAACTTCTAAACTCAACCTTGATCTCCCTTGTCTGAGCTGGAAAAACCTTCCCGCCCCCCCACCCCCCCAATCTTTTAGCTCTTAAGCTTTTAACAATTTCTCCTTGCCTTAAAAATAGCAGAGTTGCTATCAATCCCCAATTCCCCTATCTTTGTGTAGGTGGTTGTTGCCTTTTGTGGCAGTTAGCAGGGAAAAGGAAGGTGAAAGTTAGATTACTGCAATGTACATAATAAATCGTATAATATAGAAATTGTATAACATATGCAATGCATTATGGTCCTCTGTACAGATCATTTTAACCTAGATTTTCTGTTATTCTCTCAAATACAATTAAATTCTATACAATAAAAGTTAAAGGACTGAACAACAATATAAAAAAGGAGGCCCTTCAGGCTCTTAAAGCTGGTTACATGCCCTTGCATGCTTCGATGAATCAAAGCAGGAGCCATTGCCTATATTCTGACTAAAATATCGACAGGAAAATCCATCAGGTGGGGATAAGCTTCTTCCATACACATTGTGTTTGTTGATGGGCCATCAACTTGAATATTCTAGTCACAATGTGCTGTCTAGACCGGATGTAAACTACCTCCTGGGCGTTACCCAGAAGCAAATGAAAATAATACATGTGTACAAATAGGATAATCACATTCAACAAATCATAACTTTTCCATTGACACCTCCCATGACATAATTTGTACAAGATTTGTTACAATTATATAACAGTGGTAGTAAAAATGATCTATGTGGTCAAATTTTAAGCATATAATGTCACACCTCCAAGGCCTCCTGTGGGAGGTCTGGTAGCCTAGTTACACACCTAGGGACAATAGTGTCAGTAATGCAATGAACGCAGGCTTAGTGAAAGAATGTGTTAGTCACAAATGCTTTTACTTTTTAAACAGCACAAGAATTACAGCTCTTGGGAAAACGACAAACCCCTGAACGCAGTCCCCTTCAGCCTGACCTCACCACATTTTTGAACCCTGGATTCGGTCCAATCCTTAGGCCAGACAGCTCTTCATGCTTGGCCCAGCGTTCTGCACATGATAATGGAATGGCCTCCTTTGCTTAGAACATTCCTTTTTTTAAAACAACCTCTGACGCGTTTCTTGCCCCTGCTCTTCCCCTGGGGAATTTCCAGGCTCTAAACTATGGCTGTCCCCCTCATGGCTTCTGGGTAAAGTCTCATTCAAAGTCATTGGCCTGCTGGTTGCTAATCTTTGTTTCACTAGGGTACAACCAATGTCCTCGATTGCTCTGTCACAGCTTGCTAGACAGTCTATCCATTGAGTTGTCTAATCCCTGCTACAAAATGGATGCCCAACAATGCCATGCTAAAGGTGGCAATCAAAATGGAGGTTGAAATACATGGCCTTTTCAAAATAAAATGGATTTTCCAATTTGACACTGACATAATCCCTGATGTGTCATACCCTTTACTGTGGTATCTGGGCTTCCATGTTAAATGGGATCTGAAAGGCTTTCTGCTTATGGCTGTTTACATGCAGGGTCTGACCTCTTTAAATTCCTGTGTTCTATTGGTTGCCTGGAACAACCAGTGTAAACATCATGCTGGGAGTGGAACTTCAGAGAGGACTGACCTGTCTGGAAATTCAGTTGGACTGACTGAGAGTACTTACTGCTCTGTACTGTAAGGCTCTGTGGTCTATTAATCTCTTACCCTGCCTTATTTTTGTTTACATGGTAATAATTTGTACAGTATGACTCACTGGTGCTGTATGTATTACACACTTCTTCGTGACTGATAGCTTTCCTGTCTGCAGTATCACCATACTGTGGTGTTTTTAACAGACATAGTTGACACAGTAGGCAAGAAAAGTGCACAATTTTAGGGACTTGATTCAGACTTCGATCTCAAGGAGAGCTTTTCTCCCATTGTGTTACAGAAAGTAGCATTTTGGGGTGGCTCTTTCAGATATTTAAAAATTGTTTTAATCCAGAAAACAAATGAAAACCAGTTTTGAGTAGATTCATATATCATTTTATGCCTTTGATAATTGTTAACTGTTAATTAAAGTAGCCTTTTAAACAATTTTTCTATTTAAAGCTGTAAAACAGAGAGCATCATACTCTGCATGACAAAAGTTCAGGCTTTTATTAACATGCTATAAAATCTTTAGACCTTGCTCTTTTGTACCAGCTGATAGCATAACCAACTCCCGTAAACTGATTTATTTATGCTTAAATCTACCCCATGTGAACTCTTTCTCCCTGGTAGATTTTTGTTGTTGTTACTGCTGAAAATAAATGAGAGCCCTAAAGATATTGTTCCCTTACCCAGTATACTAATTTAGTGCTTTCATTTCCCTGTACCTGAAATTTAGGGTGTAAAATTATTTAAGTGGTATTGCAAGATTGTTCTCTACATCTTAACTCTGTGTGTGTTACCTATTGATTTGTTTACCTCTCTGGAGGCAGTTTTGTGCAGTATCTCCCTGTAAATATTAAGATGTTCTTCTTCTGTCAAGGCAGGCATCAGTGCATTTGTATGATTAAGTTTCTCAATAGCTGAAGAATAAGAGCATTGTGAATTCTTGCTTCATGAGCTGAGTGCTTCCAGTACAGGAGAAGTCTCAAAATTATTCCTGCAGTTGGGACAACTATCGGTAGCTCCAGTACTGAGCGTCTGGACTAATTCACTTTTTCATGAATTAAATTGGCGTCCATATGTGTTTAACCCTCATATCCTCCAAGAATACTGTTATACCAATTTGTCGTCATCTAGTCTGGTGAAAGAGAAAATAACTGCGTTCAAAATCAGTAATGTCTCTCCATGGATCACTAGCAATGAGTTATTGTATAGCTATGTGACCTTCCTCTTCTGTGATAACTCATTTATTTTGTAATGCATGGATATGCCAAGATACTTGAGCATGGTGTGGTAGGAGAGCAGCTGCATAATTCCTTAATTTCTGCTCTATCGTCAGGATCTTGGTGCAGTGCTAAATTTTGTCTTCTGTTCATTTTTGAGGCAGTGGACACAATCTTCATTCAGAATTTACGGTTGAAAATATTCTTTGCTGTGTTTAATGTCAAGTGTAAAACTAGGCAAACAGAACTGTGAGTGGAGAAGGGGACCGAAGGGAAGAGGTCTTGGCAGCATGGATAAAATCAGAACTGCACATAGGTACCAGAGAAGTCCCTTTAATTTTCCGAATATTCTATGATGACTGCTAGATCATTCAGTTTTGGCAGAAAACAATGCTTAATTTTGTTTGCTGATTTGATCCTGAATAAAAAGACCTGCAAGCGTATTTAACAGTCTCGAACATACAAGGCTGCTGTGCCTGAATTGACATGGAATGTATAAAACTAATGTTGTTGCTCTTCATCAGGTTATTATAATCAACAGTTACTTCTGTTTTGCTACTGTATATTTAATCTTTTTTTTTTTTTTTTTCCCTCCCCAGGATCTTTACACTAAAGCTATGCCCAAAGTAGAAAAAACTGTTGAGCGTGGTAGAGGTAAATCAGCTTACATTTTTCTTTACTAATAGGTGAGGTGCTTGATAGGGAAAAATTATGATGCATGGCTATGGTTACATGTGCCTTCTCTTAGCTCAGAGCTCCATTAAACATTATTCAGCACATGGTGTGAGTAAAGGAACTTCAAATCTTTCTGCTATTTGTGCTATGGATTTCTTGGATTTCTTTTGTGGAGCATCATGATATTCTGTTTTTGATAATTAAAAGCATAGTCCTGTGTCTGTCGTAAACAGTGCAAGAGTAAGGGCTGGTCTACACCAAAAATTTAAGCAATGTAGCTGGGTTGAACTAGAGGTGTAAAAAAATTAACAGCCCTCAGAGATGTAGTTAAACTGACCAAAGCCCCAGTATAGACACAGCTAGGTCATCCTCGTTCCTTTCTCTCAAGGGGGTGGATTAACTACAGCAATGGAAAAACCACTTCTGGCTCTGTAGCAAGTGTCTACATTATGGCACTATACAGGCACACCTGCAGCATCTGTGGTGTGAACAGGCTCTAAGTAATGGGTCCACATAAAGAACATCCACAGTATAAGTTAAAGGGGCATCTAGGATAATTGGGCCAGGCAGGGAACAAGATGCTATCTGTTCATGGGCAGCTATACTGAAGCCAATGCAAATCACTCTGTGAAAATAGTAGAATCTACAAATAGCTTTATTTGGCCTTACCTGTGTCATTCAGGATTAGTTGGCCAAAATCTGACCTCTCCAATCTCACTATGGGATTGCCTGGGTTGGTGGGACATGAGAGAAGACAGAAACCACTCACACAACTTAATTCACATGCTAAAACTAAGCACACTTTGGTAGTGTTCTCAAATTAATGTGAGCTGGCTGTTTTAAATTCAGTAACTGAATCTGCACATTTTTCATCTCTCTAAACTAAATACCCAATCTATTTCTGGTATATCTTTGAGATAGGGTGACCAAAACAGACTTCAGTGAGGCACCACATGGGCATAGGGATCTGCTAGCGCAGTGTTGGGGTACAAGAAAGGATGTGATAGCTTTTAGACCAGGGGTAGGCAACCTATGGCACGCGTGCCAAAGGCGGCACGCAAGCTGATTTTCAGTGTCACTCTCACTGCCCGGGTCCTGGCCACCGGTCTGGGGGGCTCTGCATTTTAATTTAATTTTAAATGAAGCTTCTTAAACATTTAAAAAACCTTATTTACTTTACATACAACAATAGTTTAGTTATATATTATAGACTTAAAAGAGACCTTCTAAAAATGTTAAAATGTATTACTGGCATGCGAAACCTTAAATTAGAGTGACTAAATGAAGACTTGGCACATCACTTCTGAAAGGTTGCCGACCTCTGTTTTAGACCATTCTTTATTTTGCACCTAAATCAGCCTCTCTTATTTACCAGTTCTTGTACTACAAAAACAAGAACATGTTCAGCTAAATTGAACAGCCACAAACACATAAAAGGAAATACCTTTTACACACTGTCCCAAATAACTCTTGGGAGCTTATTGCCTCAAGATTATTTTGAGGCCAAGAATTAATAAAAGGATAACATATTTGTATGGATATTGATTACATCCACCCTTGAATCAGATAAACTGATAAATGTTAGAGATATAACATTTCTGTTCTTCAGAGCATAGATGTATTACTAACTGATGATACTAGATAGAAACTTCCTCTAAAGGCCGCTTATTCCATAATTACAAAGTTCTTGCATCTCCTGAAGCATCTGGGACTGGCCACTGTTAGAAACAGGATGCTGGACTATTGCTCTAGTCTTGGCAATTCCTATGTTACAATGAAAGAAAAGGAATCAACTTTTAAATTACCTTAATTCCGAGGCCTGGTGAAGCAAGGGATTATCTAAGGGTATGTCTACACTACGAGAGTAGTTCGATTTCACTTAAATCGAATATGTGGAATCGATATTGCAAAGTCGAACATGTGTGTCCACACTAAGGACAGTAATTCGACTTTGTGAGTCCACACTAACGGGGCAAGCGTCGACATTGGAAGCGGTGCACTGTGGGCAGCTATCCCACAGTTCCCGCAGTCCCCGCTGCCCATTGGAATTCTGGGTCGAGCCGCCAATGCCTTCTGGGTAAAAAAATGTGTCGAGGGTGCTTTTGGGTAACAGTCGTCATCCGTCCGTCACTACCGCCCGCCCTCCCTCCCTGAAAGCGCCGGCGGGAAATCAGTTCACGCACTTTTCTGGTCAGTGACAGCGCGGACGCCACAGCACTGCGAGCATGGAACCCGCTGCGACCATCGCTGCAGTTGTGGCCGTTCTCAACGCCTCGCAGCTTATTATCCACCTTTCCCAAAGGCAGATGCAGATAAATCAGGCGAGGAGGCTACGGCACCGCGGTGAGGGCCTGAAGTCTGAGAGTAGCACAGGCCTGTCAGAAAGCACGGGACCTAGCGCCGAGGACATCACGGTGACAATGGGTCATGTGGATGTGTGGAATGGCGATTCTGGGCCCGGGAAACAAGCACGGACTGGTGGGACCGCATAGTGCTGCAGGTCTGGGATGAATCCCAGTGGCTGCGAAACTTTCGCATGCGGAAGGGGACTTTCCTGGAACTTTGTGAGTTGCTGTCCCCTGCCCTGAAGCGCAATGACACCCAGATGCGAGCAGCCCTGACTGTCCAGAAGCGAGTGGCCATAGCCCTCTGGAAGCTTGCAACACCAGACAGCTACCGGTCAGTCGCGAACCACTTTGGCGTGGGCAAATCTACCGTGGGGGTTGTTGTGATGCAAGTAGCCAACGCAATCGTTGAGCTACTGCTCTCAAGGGGAAACGCGCAGGCCATCATAGATGGCTTCACTGCGATGGGATTCCCAAACTGCGGTGGGGCTATAGATGGAACTCACATCCCTATCCTGGGACCGGACCACCAGGCCAGCCAGTACATTAACAGAAAGGGCTACTTTTCAATGGTGCTGCAAGCACTGGTGGACCATCGGGGACGTTTTACAAACATCTACGTCGGATGGCCGGGCAAGGTTCATGACGCTCGTGTTTTCAGGAACTCTGGTCTGTTTAGACGGCTGCAGGAAGGTATTTACTTCCCGGACCACAAAATAACTCTTGGGGATGTGGAGATGCCTACAGTGATCCTCGGGGACCCAGCCTACCCCCTAATGCCCTGGCTCATGAACCCCTATACTGGCGCCCTGGACACTGAAAAAGAACTCTTCAACTACCGGCTGAATGGTGCAGAATGGTGGTGGAGTGTGCTTTTGGCCGTCTCAAGGGGAGATGGAGAAGCTTACTGACTCGCTGTGATCTCAGCGAAACCAATATCCCCATTGTTATAGCAGCTTGCTGTGTGCTCCACAATCTCTGTGAGAGCAAGGGGGAGAACTTTATGGCGGGGTGGGAGGTTGAGGCAAATAGCCTGGCTTCTGATTACGCCCAGCCAGACAGCCAGGCGATTAGAAGAGCCCAGCGGGACGCGCTGTTCATCCGGGAGGCTCTGAAAGCTAGGTTCCTGAGTGAGCAGGGTAACCTGTGACTTTTAAGTTTGTGTACAGAGAAGCTGAACCTGCCCCCGTTTCTTTACCCACTAAATGTTCAGTATCCTCTCCAGTTACATACCCCCTTCACCCCCTTCCAACACACGTTTAAAAATAAAATGACTTCTATTTTGTTAATGGACACCGTTTTCTTTATTACTGTTTTCGCGGGAATGTTTTAAACCTGGGACGCAGACTGTGGTGGGGAGCGGGTGTAGTGTACTGATGCAAATGACGCTTCTAAACTCCAGGAATGACAGGCTCCGCACTGGTGGACTGGTTGTTTCAACGGAGCCTGCCAGCCCTCCTGATCGGGACTGCATGTATGTGGGGGCTATGTGACTTTGTGGCAGTGGGAGGAGGGTTACAGATCCCCTGCTGCGTGGCTCTGTGATCCAGGATAAGGACCGCTGCATAAGATCTGTAACTGCCCTCCCCCGCCACAAAGTCACAGAGCAACCCCCTCCCCCCCCCCAGAACATGAAAACCACCTCCAAGACTGACCAGGGTAACTAGTCACTGCACTGTGTATGTGCCCTGCTGCTGGACCTGCCCCCGCCTCTGTACCCTGCTAAAGGTGACTGTCCTGTCCAATTACCAACCCCCTTCCCCCCCCACTTCAGACAGACTCTCCTCCAAAAGAACATGATGGAAACAGTAATTAACAGAAACATACATTTTATTAGCAACTACACATGAAACTGGGGGGGTGAAACTTGGATGGGGGCTTGTGTGAGGCGGGAAGGAAAGGACTTGACAAATTTTGGGGAATGAGAGCCTTCTAGTAGAGCAGTCTGCAGGGGTGGAGTGAGAGTTTTCACGGACTCTGCCGCCCCTCCTTCTTTGGACTTTTGGTGAGGAGGGTATGGGACTTGGTGGCGGGGGAGGTCGGTTACTGATAGACTGCAGCGGGGCTCTGTCCTCCTGCCTCCGTTCCTGCAGAACATTCACAAGGCGCCGGAGCGTGTCCGTTTGCTCCCTCATTAGTCCAAGCAGCTTTTCAGTAGCCTGTTGGTCCTCCTGCCGCCACCTCTCCTCCCATTCCATGTGTGCTTGGTGCATTTGGGACAAATTCTCCCTCCACTGGGTCTGCTGGGCTGCCTGGGCTCGGGAGCAGCCCGTTAGTTCCGAGAACATGTCCTCCCGCGTCCTCTTCTTCCTCCGCCTAATCTGCGCTAGCCTCTGGGAGTGTGATGCCAGGCTGTGTTGGGAGACAGTCGCAGATGTGGCTGTGGGAATGGGAAAAAGGGAGTGAATTCCTCAGAAAGATAAATTTCGTTGTGAACAAAGAACATAGTCTGTCTCTGTGAACAAGACCATGCACTGTACCTATCACATGCGCACTCAGGACAAGGTCGAATTTTCGGCCCTCGCATTCAGTGCCTGGGGTCTTGCACTGCCGATTTGAGAAACGGGGCAGGACACCGGAATTTGTGTAGCAGACAGACATGGTAAGCCGTAGACTTGTGGCTGCTTAAAACTTTGATAGTAGCACTGGCCTCCTTTCACATTGAAAGCAACGCCAGTCCCTGCTGCCAGCAATCCGGCAAGCATCAACTCTGCCCCTGTCCCACCCCTTCGCGGCTGTCCCAGGGAAAGATCCCTGTATGCCGCCCCTCTCCCGCCTCCACCGCGTGGCTGTAAACCGGCGGTTACAGTTCTGTAAAGGAACGGGCAAGCAGTCCCAATACTAACATTCCCCTACCTAATTCAAAGCAGGTCACCATGAGCGACATCACCCTGATGAGGATCTCAGACAGAGATAAAGAAAGAATGCTTCGGGAAAGCCTGCAAAGACCAGGGCCGTATGCCGCCATGCTCTGCAGGGCAATGATCCCAGAGTAGCTGATGATCTCCTGGCGCGGAAACGTTTCATACCACGGAGGACCCAATAAGGCCGCTCTCCCCAGGAACCTGATGCAAAGGCTTTTCAATTGCCTCCAGGAGAGCTTCGTCGAGATGTCCCAGGAGGATTTCTGCTCTATCCCCGGACATGTAGACCGCATTTTACTGTAGCTGCACTGGCAGGGACTAAACAGTAGAGCGGCTTGGGCAGAACAATCATGCAAAACCGGACATTGTTAGATTTGTTTTTAATAGTTGCACTGCCAGGGACTGAAACGTTAAGCGCCTAGGGCAAACTAATCATGAGAAACCCATTGTTGGTATTGTTAAAATTCCTGTTCTGTTAAAAATAAATGTTTAGAGGTTTAAAACACTTACTGGCTGATCCTTCCCCTGATTCTGTGTCCGGGTTAACGGCTGGGGACGGTTGGTAGGGGATCTCTGTGAGGGTGATGAAGAGATCCTGGCTGTCGGGGAAATCAGCGTTGCAAGCGCTGTCGACTGCCTCGTCCTCCTCATCTCCTTCCTCATCTTCCCCGTCCGCTAACATGTCCGAGGAACCGGCCGTGGACAATATCCCATCCTCAGAGTCCACGGTCACTGGTGGGGTAGTGGTGGCGGCCGCACCTAGGATGGAATGCAGTGCCTCGTAGAAACGGGATGTCTGGGGCTGGGCTCCGGAGCGTCCGTTTGCCTCTTTGGTCTTCTGGTAGCCTTGTCTCAGCTCCTTGATTTTCACGCGGCACTGCGTTGCATCCCGGCTGTATCCTCTCTCTGCCATGGCTTTAGAGATCTTCTCGTAGATCTTTGCATTCCGTCTTTTGGAGCGCAGCTCGGAAAGCACGGACTCATCACCCCACACAGCGATGAGATCCAAGACTTCCCGATCAGTCCATGCTGGGGCCCTCTTTCTAGTCTGAGATTGCACGGCCATCTCTGCTGGAGAGCTCTGCATCGTTGCCAGTGCTGCTGAGCTCGCCACGATGTCCAAACAGGAAATGAGATTCAAACTGCCCAGACAGGAAAAGGAATTCAAATTTTCCCGGGGCTTTTCCTGTGTGGCTGGTCAGAGTATCCGAGCTCGGACTGCTGTCCAGAGTGTCAACAGAGTGGTGCACTGTGGGATAGCTCCCGGAGCTGTTAGCGTCGATTTCCATCCACACCTAGCCTAATTCGATATGGCCATGTCGAATTTAGCGCTACTCCCCTCGTTGGGGAGGAGTACAGAAGTCGAATTTAAGAGACCTCTATGTCGAACTAAATAGCATTGTGGTGTGGACGGGTGCAGGGTTTATTCGATGTAACGGCGCTAAATTCAACATAAACGCCTAGTGTAGACCAGGCCTAAGTTTATATACATGCATAAGTCAGGAGGCGGGGAACACTTTTTTATGTTGTATACTTTTAATGGCAAGTTAAAATAATTGTTCGGATTTCATTTTTAACTGAAATTGTGTGAATAGGGAAGTAAAATAAATGCACAGTTGTCTTCCTGGTTTTGTCAGCTGACTAAAACATAAAGTGTATCAGATGACAAAACCACAAGAGGTTTTGTAGCGGAGAATGGCAGACAGCAAACTGCAGGAAACTCAGCTAACGGGGAAATGAAATTGTATGCATAACCAGGTGGCAACAGAATATAAATGTAATTGTTTTGTAAATATCAACACTGTTTATGCAACTGATGAGAGCCTAATAAGCTAAAGTTGAGTTATGGACTGATTTCCCTCACTCCAAATTACACTAGTTTCTGAAAACGTTTTTTGTGTAGTACACTAATTTTAAAAATTGTTCTACAATGCTGATGTTCTGTTAAGTGGCAGGAGGTCAAGGGGAGGGGACCCCCTTCTGGCTTAATAAATGAGTGTCCATAGATCATTGCATTCCAATACTTACTAGTGTTAGTTATTAGTGTGGAGCACTTGAATAATTGTACTGTTTGAAAATTTTAGTAAAACTGCATTCTGAAACTTAAATATCTGTTCAGACTGGAAATAGTGAAATTCTGTTTTCGCGCGCGCACACACAAAACTTGTTTGTGTGTGTGTGTATATAAAAAATTCTCCGGCTGGAGAATCTTGCCTGTATGCTCGGGGTTCTACTGATCGCCATATTTGAGGTCGGGAAGGAATTTTCCTCCAGGGTAAATTGGCAGAGGCCCTGGAGGTTTTTTGCCTTCCTCTGCAGCATAGGGCAGGGGTCTCAAGCTGGAGGATTCTCTGCGACTTGAAATCTTCAAATCACGATCTGGAGACTTCAACAGCTGAGATAAGGGAAATTGGGTGGGCCAGCTTTTGTGGCCTGCATCATGCGGGAGGTCAGACTAGATGACCATAATGGTCCCTTCTGACCTTAAAGTCTATGAGTCTAAATTTAAAAATTAATTTAAAGAATAAGTATTACTCTAGCAAACTCTAAAAATACAAGATATTTACATGCGCTTTCCTGAAATGGACTGACTCTAAAGACTTTTTTTTCTCAACAACTATCTTTATATTTCCTGCAGTTTGCTGTCTGCCATTCCCTTATTGGGAAATAAGGACTTTAACACAATCAAGAGGTAGCTAGAACCATTAGATTGTGACATTCTGCAAAATGACTCTGCTTCTACTGCAGGAAGCCCACAGCTTTGATGGTGGATAGAACTCATTACTGTGCCAGTCAATCTGTCACCTAAAACACCCTCACAAAAGCAGTTTGAAAAAGCGAAATGCTGCTACGAACAGATCCTCTTTTCCAAAGACAAATGATAACATGTAACAGTCCGCATGAAAATATGTGCCTCCTAGAACTTTCAAGAAACATTAATGTTTCAATTAATGTCCCCAAATAAATGAAGCAACAGCCTCCCAGTGCATTAACAAGTAGTTCATATATGTGTCAATAGAGAAGATTGCAGAAGTCTTAAATTTTTTGCCACTAGAGCCAAAAAATACATGACAGTTAAAATAGTGTTTAACAACACTTTGTTTTGTAACACTTGCTCGTATGTGTTAATGGTTCATTTTCATCATAAGCTCTTTCCATTACATTGATGCATTGTGGTCTGATTTCATTTTAGAAAGTTGTGAATTTCTCAAAAATCCCCCGCCAGGATTTTACCCAAGGCTTGGTGTCATTGGTTTTGCTGGAATTGTTGGACTGTTTCTTTCTAGAGGTAGGTGCTCTTTTTAAATGGCTTATTTTATGAAGTTGGGGTAAATCATTTAACATCCAATAAAAATGAATACATCTTTAACTACAATATGTGCAATTAAATCAGGACTCAGAAATGTATCTTGACGCACATTATTTCTGCTACAAAAGGTTTTTTTTATATTGTTTAATTTCAGTGTTATGGATTCTGTTGGTTACAGAAATTTGGTCTATAAAAGACACCAGTACTGAATGGCGCTTATAGTAATAATATGATGAAATCTAAGAGGAACACCAGAATTGCAATTATCAACCAAATTTAATGCTAAAGCATTCAGCTTATAAAACTAATCTTTCTCTTGATTTAGTTGCATCACCACTACACCTCACAATCCCAGTCCCAGTCCTGGTCTACACTAGGGATGGGGGGGAGAATAGATCTAAGTTAAGCAACTTCAGCTATGTCAATAACGTAGCTGAAGTCGATGTACTTAGATCGACTTACCATGGTGTCTTCACCGCGGTGAGTCGACTGCTGCCACTCCCCCGTTTACTCCGCCTGCGCCTCTCGTGGTGGTGGAGTACAGGAGTCAACGGGAGAGTGATCGGGGATCGATTATCGCGTCTTGATTAGACACGATAAATCGACCCCTGCTGGATTGATTGCTGCCCGCCGATCCAGCGGGTAGTGTAGACATACTCTCAGTGTGGTAGCATGTTTTTTGGGGGGGGAAATAGTAATTTTTAGTTAAGGGAAATTGGATGCATTTCTTAAAAACTTGTTTGCAGACTTTTTTTTTTTTTGTCATAAGTATTCAATTAATTTAAACATGGCATCTTGAATATTGTTACTGTGAAGATTCTGCTTTGTAGTAATTTAGCAGATAATGCTCTCTAAAGTGTGCATCATTCAGTTTACAGAGACAGTTACCAATAAGCAGCTATTCCTTTACAGTTTACTTAATGAAATTAAGGAGACTATCCAATTATGAACTAGTGATTAAAGGGACGCTGCCAATTCCTCTGATAGTTTTCTTTAAAATTATTTTTAATTAGTTTTTGTGCTCCTCTGTTAGTTTAGAAAGGGCCTTTGGATGGGCCTGAAAGCTACATAATCAAATATGCTTATGCACCCACTTCCACTTCCTCCCCCACCCCCTTTTTGCTTCTGGGCTCACACCTGCTTCTGCTTGCCGCTTGTTCTTTCAGTTTCAGCTCTGATAATGCTATTACACATAGTGAACACCCTTTTCCAGGGCCTATAACTATCAACAAACAATGAAACTGACTGTAAAGTAAGCCAACTGAAAAAAGAGAGGTTTTTTTCCTTTAATCTTTATTATATACTCGGAGTTAATTTTAACAATAGTAGGCAAAAAAACCCCAAACATTTGGTTCTGAAATTTTTTTAAGTTGACTGTGTCCCTCTAATTGGCAAGTTAACTGACAAAGCAAGGTTCTTGAATGTTATTGTGGTCTCATCTCTACGTAGAGCTTACCTAGAAGTAAGTTACAGTATAATGTAACATGTTTATACATATTTTACAGTGTAGAAATTCAATGTAACATTTAATTACATTGCTTAAATAGTATATTTATGCTTTGTTAGGAAAGGGAATTTGAAATACAGTAGAACCTCAGACTTATGAACACCTCAAGAATGGAGGTTTTTCATAACTCTGAAATGTTTATAACTCAGAACAAAACATTATGGTTGTTCTTTCAAAAGTTTACAACTAAACATTGACTTAATACAGCTTTGAAACTTTACTATGCAGAAGAAAAACGCTGCTTTTAACAATCTTAGTGCAAATGAAACAAGCACAGAAAGAAGCAACAGAGGGTCCTGTGGCCCTCTGTTGCTTTTTACAGATTCAGACTAACACGGCTACCCCTCTGATACTTAAGCCCAGAAAGAGTTTCCTTGCCTTGTCAAATCTTATTTTTTAAACGTTCCCTTTATTTATAACAGGGTTTAAAAGGAAACTAGATAAATTCATGGAGGTTAAGTCCATTAATGGCTATTAGCCAGGATGGGTAAGGAATGGTGTCCCTAGCCTCTGTCTGTCAGAGGGTGGAGATGGATGGCAGGAGAGAGATCACTTGATCATTACCTGTTAGGTTCACTCCCTCTGGGCACCTGGTATTGGCCACTGTCGGTAGACAGGATACTGGGCTGGATGGACCTTTGGTCTGACCCAGTATGGCCATTCTTATGTTCTTATTTTTTTAGTAGTTTACATTTAACACAGTACTGTACTGTATTTGCTGCTTTTATTTTTTTTTCTGGTCTCTGCTGTGGCCTGCTTGTGTACTTCCAGTCCAAATGAGGTGTGTGGTTGACCAATCAGTTTGTAACTCTGGTGCTCAGAACTCTGAGGTTCTAGGGTATGCTCCTTTTTGTAGAAGTTCTTAGTATGTGACACTACTTAACTGTATCTGTGGTGAATCATTACATTGATATGGATGAATTCTGTAACTCTGTAGGAAATATTGTTGATAATGGTATGCACAGCCAAATGGTGTTTTCATTAACAAAATCAGAAATGAGCAGTTCTTTGAACAAACTGGAAGTGATGTGTGACTATAGCAGATAAATGTATTAACACTTCTCCAATTAAATTTATTTTGATTATTCTCTGGCAGTGAACAAACACACTGCTTAGCATTCATGATGGTATTTAATGAGAAGAACATTGCCAGATCATGATTGTAGATGTTTTTCTTAAAGTTCCAACTTCAGGAGTCATGTGATTATGTGAGAATCTTTTTTTTTTTTTTTTTTTTTTTTTTTTTTAAAGGAAAAAAATGTATGGCCATTGGGGTTGTGGAAAATGAGTACCCTAAAGGCTTAAGAACTAGAAGATAAATAAAAAGAACCTATAATTTTATCTTTTTAATCCCATCTTATGATTTTGGGGTGGACCTGATTTGAAATGCAAATCGCTTACTTGCAATACAAAAATCAAAGCACTTTATTTTTGCATCTGAGCTTGAAATGTCAAGAAGCTAGTTTACAATGAGTTTTAACTTTGAAGTATATAATGAGTAAGGCTACGTTTTAGTCATGGGTATTTTTAGTAAAAGTCATGGACAGGTCACCGGCAGTAAACAAAAATTCACGGCCCGTGACCTGTCCATGACTTTTACTATATACCCCTAACTAAAACTTGGGCCCGGGTGCTGGGGGGTGGGGATGGCCCAGGACCCCTGCTGGGGATGGGGGACGGCCTGGGACCCCTGCTTGTGTGTGTGTGGCAGGCAGGCAGGCAGGCAGGGAGGCAGGCTCCCTTCCCGGCTCCGACCAGCGTGTCCCTGCAGCTCCTGGGGGAAGGGTGGCCAGGGGGGCTCTGCACGCTGCTCCTGCCATTAGTACCAGCTCCTCAGCTTCCATTGGCCGTGAACCGCAGCCAATGGGAGCTGCGGTGGTGGCACCTGTGGGCGTGGGCAGTGCATGGAGCACCAGCCGCTGCAGAAGTCACGGAGGTCACGGAATCCATGACCTCCGTTACAAACATGCAGCCTTAATAATGAGTCCAACAGGAAGAAAACCTATATCACAAGTATACATGTGGTAGAACTATATTTATGGTAGCTGGTAAAGGCTGATCTCTGTTATGGAACATGCCTTCTGCTTGATATGCCAAATGGATTCTATTTTAGCATATTAGAAGCATTTGCATTCATTTCATGAACAGAAGTTTATATAATTCTCATAGCAATATTTCTTTAAAGGTTTTGGTTATTCCACCATTAAAATTTTTTTGAATCCCCACATCAGATTTAATTATGAGGTAGTTATCACTGAAAGATTCTGTTAAAAAGTACTCTCAAAAGAGTGAAAAATTAGTATATCGGTCTAATATGATTGTGTTTCTTAGGAAAGTAGTTAAACTAAACAGTTACTGATGTGGTAAATTATAATGTACCTAATGAATGATTATATATATAAAAAAAAAAGTACAGTAACACTATCCAAGTTTCTGGAGAACCAGTACTCTAACAGAAAATATTTTCTTCCATGGAACAGGTTCAAAAATAAAGAGGTTGGTGTATCCAGTGGGCTTCATGGGGATTGGTGCCTCGCTATATTATCCACAACAAGCTGTTGCTATTGCAAAGGTCAGTGATTACACTTTTAGGTGTGGGAAACCCCTCTTACTTCCTGTCACTTATTTCTTCATAGCTTCAAATTAGTGAGTAAACCATTTTTTATTTAAGGGTTGTCATCAGGCTTGGCCTTCATACAAAGAAGGCACATACATTTCTTCTCCCAAGGAGCTTGCAGTTTAAATTGGACATAAACTGGGTGAATTGATTTAAATCAAAATGATTTAAATCAGCGAGCAGGAAACCTGATGTAAATAATCAATTTTAATTATGTTTTGCATTTGTACTGTTTACTTTCCTAAAGAAAAGTTGATTCTCATTGGTTGGTAACTATTAAAACATGTTTGCAACTAAATACAGTGGAACCCTGCTATAACGCGATCATTGGGGTCCAAAAAATGCAATTGCGGTAAATGCAGGGTCGCATTATAGCGGGGTTCCACTGTACTTGTGTTCAGCTTCCGCACCCTGGCTAGCGGGAGGGAGGGAGCGGGGGAGAGAGAGAAGGGGGGTGGCCAGGGCTTCCTTCAGCCGGGGGGAAGTGGGAAAAAGTTCCTCGGAATATGAAAGGCAGACGATTCTACTCCTGCTAATTTCTAAGGCAAAAGGGGGCCTCAGACCCATCCTAGACTTGCATCGCCTCAACAAGTCGCTCCAGAAGTTGAAGTTTCGCATGGTCTCCCTGTGGATTGCCACGGGCACGCAGGGGCGAAAGAAAATGCAGGCCTGTTATTTACCAGGCTGCACCTGGCAATAGACTATATTGGTAAGGGATGCAAGGAGAGTATGGGTCACGATGCAAACTGCAGAGACACACACAACTAAAATTAATCAATTTAAAGTTTTATTGGGGATAATTACAAGGGGTAAGGGAGCAGCGTTTGATTAGCTAATAGAGTTAATGAAACTTAAAACACACAATGACTAAAATATCTACTAACAATATTTATAAACAAAGATGCAGCAATTAGTAATAACTGATACTTACAAATACAAACCAATGCATAACGACCGGCAAACGTAGAAACTCTGTTTGAAACACGTGAGCTGAGAGAGAGGCTTCGAGGTGATCAGGCTCGGTTACGGGTGTACACAGGATACACAGGATTCGTTTTTCTTTCTCCTCTCCCTGCCTGCACATGGCAGGCAGGCCCATAAAGTACCAACTATGACATCATAGAAGTGTCATAGGGGACGGGGCTCAAAACCTGTTTGTGTTCATTTCTGATTGGCACAAGCAAAGTTTACACCAAGTAGGGGAGCTGGTGCCTCAAAGTCTGGCTTCGCCCCCAAAAGGTGAGGAAATGCATATTGTTTTAGAATGCGTGCAACACTGAATGACAAAAGAAGAGGCCAAGGCAATACCGGTATGGGCAAGTTTTACAGGATGCAGACAGGAACTCATCTCAACATGCCCCCGTGCCCTGGCCGAAATAGTGAGGCCGAAAACCTAAACTTCCGAGTCCGACTCCTCATTCCCACCTACGAGGGGATGCGCTTTGGGGGTGGAAGCGATGTAGGCCGAGGCAACAAACTTGTGAATGTAGGCTTTAATGAAGGCACATCCGAGACAGAGAAGAGCGAGCCCAACTAGAAGGGACACAAACAGGGATTGGAAATAGGATTTGTAGGGCGCAAGGCCAAGCCAATCGAGCCATGACCAAAACTGGAAGGACTCTCGTGACTCTCTGACAATAGAGCTCAACGTTTGCAGGATCTTTAACAATTGAGGACAAATTAGGAGAAATAGAAGGCAAAGAAACGCAGCATTTATCAGCAAAGTCGGGATATACTTCAGCAAATTTAGTACAAAATGAGGAAGATTGTAACAAATATTGAATCATTAATCTATTTTGAATACTATACTGAACAAGGGAATTTAACTGCTGATTAATTAAGGAGAGGCCCTTGCCCGTAGTATTAGCAAGCATTTCAATAGCAAGGGATTGAAACAGCACTTGATCACGTAACATCATATAACCAACAGGGTTAAAACTAACAATAGAGGAGCCGAGGGAGGAAGCTGCTGTTTGCAAACGAGCCCAAAAAGAGTGGGTACTACAATGGTGTCGGTGGCTAGATGGCAAGGTATAAATACCTCCGCCCTATAGATACAGGGTGCCAATGGTGCATATACCCCGGGGATTGGGAGGAAGCACAGCAAATGCAACATTACCGCAAATCCAAAAATGACCGGGTCTTAAGGAAGAAACTGTGGTATGGCTCAACCCATTATTGGTTACAGAATAAAAGCTGGATGCACGATTGATACATGCAGCCTCAGCATGATGCATATGCTGGGCATGAAACAGATACGTATGTATTATGGAGGTATAGAAGGTTCCAAAAAAAATATTATAATTAAGACGATAAGAACAATTAATGGGAGGGGGATAGGTAAAATTAAGAGTGGGTTTAGTTAGGGAGGTATTAGCATAAGAGAAACTCCACATAGAACAATTAGAATAAGTACCAACCCAAGTACGGGCTGAGGTTAAACTATTACCAACAAAAACCCAACAATGAGATGCTGGAACTCTAATACTCTCAATTAAAGGAAAGCTATGATCACTTCGACCTGAAGCATTAAGAACTGGAAACACATAAGAATTAAATTGTGAAGAACAATTATTCCAAACACTAGAAGCAGCCCACTGCACATAGGGGGAAGAACAATTCACACTAGAAATATTAAATGAAGAAAAATTATAAACTATTGGTACAAATTGAAAGGGTAATGGATATTTAGGTGAGAACTGAGTGGAGCAAACAAGACAATCTTCTGGACTCAGCGCTGACAGGGACTGGTTTCCGCTGACCTCCTGCACCCAGTAGGCGGCGAACCAGGTTTATAGTCCACCTTCTCCTAAGGGCTCCGTGGGCAAAGATGTTGTGAGGGAGAGCAACATAACCTGTAAAACAGAATAATACGAGCCCTGCTCAGGGGCATTAGTTTGTTTATTAAGAACTACATTTGCTGAGCCAGTTATGATGAACTAGCTTGTCACCGGGGGTACTTGTAGCCACTAAGTAGGTGTTAGGGTACTTGCCGGCCTGGAGAATGGTGGCTTTTATAGGTTCTCGATGGCCGGAGGCTTGGGGTTCTGTAAGCCAAACCAGTTGGCCGGTGTTAAACACGGGGGACCAAGGCGGCTTAGGTGTAGGTGAAATGTGAGGCCAGCGAGAGTAACTTTTGTTGAGTGCGATAAGTACCTGGGGTAAAAATGAGCTCCAGTTTTTAAAATCAGGGTTAGGGTTTGCTGTTCGCAGCATAGTCTTAAGGACTGCGATTTTTCGCTCCACCACACCATTGCTTTGAGGATGATATTTAGTATGGATGTGAAGGGAAGCCCCCCATCCAAAAATGAGCTGTTCAATGCTTTTGCTGGTAAAGGGTGGCCCACCATCTGCTTGGACTTCAGTGGGAGTGCCCCAGGCAGCTGCTGTTTGCTTAAGAGCCACAGCGACAGAAGCAGCATTGGTTTTAGTAAGAGGGACACAAAAAGTTTGCCGAGACCCCAGATCGACAGTAACTAAGGCTTTTGGAAAACGACGAGCACCTGGCAGGGGTCCTATTAGTCAATTTGCCACGTACTACCTGGGGCAAAGTGTTCTGCAGCGTATGCAGAGCGCTCATATCGGGGACGATTCATAGTTTTTACCTGCACACACTGCAAGCAGGACTGAACAATGAGCTCGCACTGACTGCGGCTAACGTCAGGCTTTTGGTTAGAAAAGCCAGATAACAGGCCGTACAATTTTGTGGGTGGTAAGTGTCCCCATTCTTCGTGGAGCCAGCGCAACAGCGGGTCGGCCTGTGGGGCGGGATTTGCCATATGAATTTGGGAGACCTCTCTCATTCTTTGATCAAGACTGGAATGCAGGGGGTTAGAGTCTGGTCGATGAGAGGGACAGTGCGTAACGAACCAAGGGTGAGAGAATTTACGAATTAGGGCAAAAATTTGGTCCCACATTTTAACAAAAGCTGAGGGAGAGGCTTGCTCAATTAAAATATCTAAACAAAATTGAGAATCGATACCTAAAACAACTTGCTTGTTGGCAGAGTGGGCATTAGCAACATGCTGGGCAGCTAAAAGAACGCCCTGCACTTCGCATTCTTGTGCGGAGCAGGAGGGGGGCAGTAACTGCACATTAAAGTAATTACATGTGGAACAAAGAACTCCCGCCCTAGGGGATGGTGAGGTGCCCCCGTCAGACACAACCCAGGGATCATATTTTGCTTCAATGCATAACGGTTGGTGAGATGGGGGGGCTAAGATGTTATCGCTGGGAGTTAGGGTCCATACCTGCCAAGCTACCTCAACCTGGAAACATAGAAGCTGCCAGGTGCGAGTAGTGCCATGAAACTCGGGTGGAGGGGTACTTGTAAGCCACGGGATTAAATGAACACGTGGTCCAGACAAGGTACCTGGGATAGGGACTTGGGACCAGTGACGAGCACTGAACGCAGCCAGTAGCATTTTTCCCACCAGAGCATAGTTATTCTGGGCTCCAGACAGGCGATGGGTCCAATTGTAAATGGCATTACCATGTTGCAATACAGTGAACCCTACATGGTGTTTTGTGATAAACAAATTAATGTTGAGGGGTTCTTGGGAATTAAAACGGGCGAGGGGGGGGTTAGAGGCGAACCAGCCAGCTAGCTTCTCTAAGCTTTTTTGTGCTGATGCATTCCACACTTCTCGGGAGCGTTTAGAAGAGAGAGAGCTTTGTAGGATTTCTAGGTTAGAAATTAATTGCGCCGGAATATATTGGCGGTGATAATTAAGGAGACCTAGTAGCTGCTGAAGCTCTCGTTTATTTTTTGGAGGGGCTTCTGTCCAAGGGTCTAATACGCTGGCTGGGGCTTGTGTGTGAGTGGTGGGAGTTAAATGGAGTCCCAAGAATGAGAATTGCTGGCTGGCCTGCAGGTGGCTCTTTGTTTTGTTAATTTGCCACCCATCTGCTTCTAATGCATCTATTATCATTTGGGTGGTACTTTGAACTGCTTG